CTTTTTAAGGAGTTCTTGTCCTCAGTGAGTTTTTGTGCCTCCTTTTCCATTTGGCCAGTTCTGCTTTTTAAGGAATTGTTTTCTTTCAGTGTACGTTTTTTTCCATTTGGCCAATTGCGTTTTTTAAGGACTTGTTTTCTACAGTTAATTTTTGTCCTTTCTTTTCTAACCTATTGATTCTCTATTGCATGCCTCTCTTTTCTTTTCCCGATTTTTCTTCTACCCCTCTTATTTGACTTTTAAAATCCTTCTTGAGCTCTTCCAAGAAGGCTTTCTGGGCTTCAGACCAGTTCATATTCTCTTTTGAGGTTTTGGATGTAGATATGTTGACAATGTTGTCCTCTTCTGAATTTCTACCTCAATCTTCCCTGTCCCCATAATAAGAATCTATGGTCACAGTACATTTCTTTTTGCTCATGGTGTTTGCTTATTTCCTGATGTTTAAAAAAAAAATTGAGTTCTTCTGCTGGGGAGCAGGGGTCACTGACCCATGCTTCTTGTCCTGGGATCCTGGGGCCTAGTGACTGGCTTTGTATACTGGGGCATCAGATGCAGGCAGTTAGAGGCTGTAGGGTTCTGGCAGCTTACCTGGTGTTGGGCTGGAATCAGCAACATTGGAGCTCTAGGGGTGGGGGGGGGGGAGAATCTGGCACCTGGAGGATGCCTGCTCACCCAGGCCTTGCATTTCTTTCTTTGGCTCCTGCTCACCTGGGCCTCACACAGGGATGTTTCACTGCTGCAGGATGTCTCTCACCCTGGAGCTTTTCCTCTTGGAGTTGTGCTTCCTAGAGTTTTGCTGAGGCACCAGGAAACTTGGCTCCTGGAGAATGCCATGGCACTTGGTAGTTTTCTGAGCCAGTTTCCACCGGCTTCCCTGCCCGTACTGAGGCACTTGGAGGTCCTAGTGTTGGTGCTTGCCTGCTCTACCATCCTGGGGTTCAGAATCTCCCTCAGTATGCTGCGGTAGAGCTTTCCACTAGCTTGTTGGGACACCTCCCACTCTATACTGCTCCCCCTCCCCCAGTGCAAGAGGGGCCTTTCCTGTTAATCCCCCAAGCTTTGTGGGCTACAAGATTACTGCACCCCGTCTTTCTGATGGTTCAATTGGTCCAGAGTTTTTCCTGGTGTGATATTTTCTGGGCTTTCAGAGGTCAATAAGGGAGGGTGAGACCAACTTACTTCTTACTCCACCATCTTGACTCCCAGAAGTGGAAACCTAGCATTTCTTTTTCATTACTGTTAGGTAAATAGTTAGGATCTAAAAATGTCTCTATTGAGAATATCTCATTGTATAAATATCAAGCATTATAATACATTATTTGTATTATATACATATATAATGCATTATCGTACGTTACGAGTGCATTCCATTATCAGTGGCTGGTAATGTACAAAGAAACGCATCAATGGCAACTCAAGATAGAAAGTGTATTTCCCCTCAATAGATTTTCCCCTAGGATGTTGAGAGGGTTTGAATATAGCCATCTCTCTTTGAGAACCTAGACCTGCCTGGCTGAGATCAGGCTGGAGTGAACAAGCCAACCCAGAGAGTGAGTAGGTATCCATATGTCCCATGTGAGGGGTGACATTGTGGAGTTTATGTCCTAAGCACCCCATGCCCATGTTACATTGTGGGAAAGGGATGGCCATGAAATTGCTATTACAGGTAGACCCTTTAAACCTTACAAGAGACTGTTACTAATACCCTTCTTACACCTGAGCATGAGTCTATCTGTACAGGGAAAGGAGATAGATGAGGAGTTTGGGAAATAGATTAGAAGCTTTGAATAGAAGTATGATTATCAATCAAATAAATGACAAAGCATTTATTAAGTGCCTACTATGGGTCACACACATAGATTCTCACTATGTTACCCCTTACATGGGATATATGGTTACCTACTCACTCTCTAGGCTGGCTCATTCACTCCAACTTTCTCACTCACTCGCTTTGGCAGGGCTAGGTTCTCAGAGAGAGAGAGAGAGAGAGAGAACATCACCATATGGCTACATTCAAACCCTCTCAGGGTCCTAGGGGGAAATCTGTTGAGGGGAAATACATTTTCTCTACTCATCTATCTTAAGTTGTCATCAATGCCTTTCTTTGTACACTACCAGCCACTCATAATGTAATGGCACTCATAATGTAATACCCTCATAATGTATATGGTAATTCATAGTGCTAATAGCTGGGGACACAAATAGAAAACTGAGATACTGCCTTCCTGCACAGAACTTATATTCTATTGGATGCAATAGTGATGGGGGACTTTAATTATCTGAACAAATGTTCTTCAGTTGAACATCTAATAGAGCTCTCTCTCACCACCAAAAACAAAGCAGCTAGTAATGTCTTGGCTTGCCTTCCATCTTTCAATACTTGGAGAAACTTGGGGGCAGCTAGGTAGCATGATAGATAGAGCACCAGCCCTGAAGACAGGAGAACCTGAATTCAAATGCAGCCTCAGACACTTACTAGCTATGTGACCCTGGGCAAGCCACTTAACCCCAACTCCCTTCCCCCAAAACAAAACAAAATAAAAAAGCAAGGGCAGGTAACTGACAATGAATACAGAAGTGTGGCATGACCCTGTGTGAGGAATACTAAAGGTCAGAATGAATCTGATAAGATAACCCAAAGACAACCGAAAAGCTTTCATGCACTAAGACTTTTGGGACACATTGGGATATGTGGATACCCACTCATCTAGGGGAATGATTGAGATTTGGTTTCTTCAGTTCAAGCCACCTTCCTGGTTGCCATACCCTGAAGAGGAGGGAGGGCTTACTAAAAGTTTATATCTAAAAACCCAACCCCTTCCAAACAAATGTCAGTTATATAAGGGACCATCACAAATAGTGAATAGCAAGTAGACCCATTTATCCAAGCAAATATCAAACAGAAATCTGAGAAGATATACAGATTAGAAGGTGGCAGGTGATACATAAAGTGAGTGAATTCTACCTCTGGGAGTAAGGTATCTCAGCTCAACCAAGATCTTAACCGAGGAAAAAATTTCCCGAAGTCTCTGAGGAGGCAAGCTGGAAATGAAGGACATGTTGAGGAGCTGGCTTTTCCCTCTAAGGCTATCTTCCAAAGTCCATTCTCTCTGTCTCCATAGAACTCTCCTTAAAGAGAATCTGGAACCATCTGTGTCCTCTCTTGAAGTAGGAATGAAAGAAAAAAAAAAGATCTCTCCTCTCCCAAGCTTCCAAGGATGAAATTTAATAGGGAAAAAGGTAAAATCTTACACTTGGGTTCAAAAAGTCATCATCATAAGATGATGGAGGCATGACCAAATAGAAATTTGTTTGTATAAGATTTCATGGTTTTTGTTGACAGGAGGGCCACGTAAGACGATATGATGTGATAGTCAAAGAAACTAATGCAGAAACCCAAAGAAGTCTTGCATTTTCCACTGCTGTGAAGTATTCCCCCGTGATTTCACTTTCTACAGAAAGTCTTTCCTAACCTCCTAAATGTTAGTGTTCCCTCCCCCATGGGTTTCTATTTACATTAGAGAAAGACAGAGAGAGAGAGAGATCTGGTGCCAAATGGGACAATATGTTTAAAACATTTTGCAAACCTGAAATCACTATGCAAAAGTGAGCTATCATTATCATTATTATTATTATTGTCTTATCTATGTAAATTTCATTTCCTCTCAGGGGAATATAAGCTCCTGGAGGGCAGGGATTGTTTCAGTTTTGTCTTTGTATCACCAGTAGCTAGCTCAGTGCCTGGCATATAGTACATACTTAATTTTAATTATAGCTAAATATAGAATTATAATTACATATTAATTATAATTATATAATTACAGTAGGAGCTTGTTGAATGAATGAATGAAATTGATAAATTTCAGTTTATAGAAGGAAAAATAATTAGAACTATCCAAAGACTGGAATGGGCCACCTTGGGAGGTAGTGGGTTCCCCATTCACCCTGTCTGGATGTTCCAATCCTGGTATGTTTCAGAGGGGATTGTTCAGGTATAGTTGGCACTAATAGGCCTCTGATTAGATTCTGTGAACATGAGTTACTTTTGTTACCTCTTTTCCACTTGGAATTATAAAGCTCCTTAGAATTGGAAAATGGCCTTAGCAGTCATCTAAAACCAGCCCATACCCCCAAAGAAATCCCTAGGCAAAGTACAGGCCACTGGACTTGACTTCATTTTCCTTGCACTGTATATCCTAGAAGCAGGTATGAAATCATGTCACATGAATTAATCCCCTGATACCCTCTCTGTCCCACTCTGATTGGCAGACACTGGTCATTTACCCTTCATCAATCACTCAGTGGAAAGACTTGAAAGAATTTGAATGACTTAGAAACAAGATTGAATTGAAGGGCCTTTCAAAGTTACCAGTTTTCAGGCTTGTGCTCTGTATTTTGGTTAGGACCTCAGAAGTGAATATGGCTACTGGAGATGGAGAAAGAGCCTTTCATACTGCTTCCTTGACAGCAATGAACAACAGAGAGAGAAGCCATGCACTCTGATAGGAAACCTACTAACAACTTCCTCCAGACACACCCAAAGAGGTCTCCAGCTCCAATCTTATTTATTTATTTATTTGTTCATTCATTCATTCGTTTGCTTGTTTAGTGGGTAACTGCTGTGTGGAGGGAGCCAGAATCCAGGGCCATAATATAATAATGTAACACTACCCATAGAGAGGAGGCATAGGGATGAAAAGGGTTTTCTAGATGTATGTTCACATACAGTGTATAGGTTATGGAAGGGTTTTAAGGGGCACTCCAAGATCTGACTCCAAGGAGAGATGAATGACATTTGGCTGCCATCCCAAAAGTTTGGGGGTTGATAAATCCTGTCTGGTATTTGCCTCGCTGATCCCTTACCCACCCATTTGCTGGCCTTCTCCCTTGTGGGGCTCTATGCAAATACAAATTACCTGAATCAGACAGCAGATGACTCACTGACTCCCCTTTAAATCCACGTTGGCTTTGCCACAGTAGGTGCAGAGAGACCAGAAGCCATGGCTCGCTCACCATCACCAGTCTGTTTCTCCTACACATTGCTGGTTTTCTGGTTAGTAGTAACTGTGGCAGAAGGTAAGTTTTTTTGGAGGGGGGCTTATTCTAATAATAAATTATGACAATGATGCCTCACCTTTCTATATGGCATTTTACATTTTATAAATGAGAGAATATTTGTAAAGTGATAGCACAGTGCCTGGCCCACAGTAGGTACTTAATAAATGCTTATTCCTAGCCCCTATGAAGCAGCTGGATCCTCTTATTAATGATGATTTGATCATTAATAAAATTAATTGCAATTGTGTGAGTAATGGGATCCCAGACATCTTGGTAGAGTGGATAGAGCTGTCCTGGAAGCCAAAACAAGTCCTGGCCCTGGGCAATTGGTCTTGGCCACTTTCTAAGACAAGAAAGTGCCAACCTGCATTGGTGAAAGGAGTTTCCTCAGCCAGGAATTCCATATACCAATGAAATCATAGGTCAAATTTCTGTCCCTTGGTTATTTAAGTCTTTGGAAAGATTTGGAAAGGTTTGAATCATCTTTTATTGGGCTTCCACAGTTTCCATCCCAAGACAATAGTATCAAATGATTTCCAGCTAATGTAACTAAATAATGAATAGGATTTACAGTTCCTTCTGTTTCACCTTGGGAACTCTATGTGGGCTTTTCAGTCGAGTGAAAAAGCACATTGATACATAGATGCATATACATGTACATGTGTATATATGTATATATTACACACATGTGCATAGACAGAAATACAGTAAAGATATTCCCTTAAAATTTTCACCATGAAGTAATTATTTTCACCCCAACCAACCACATAATAATTATAAGAAAGTTTTCCTTAACTTCATCTTTTTGCTTACGAGCATGACGTGCTATCATGCAGTGAACTTCATGTCTAGACTAAAAGAATGCCATAAATCCACTTTAAAATTATAATAAGGAAAGACTTACAAGCAAAACTTTTGACAGATTTTTTTAAACAGCATTCTGATGTTGAAGAATTATTGTTGGCAACACCAACATTGTTGTCAATTTACCAACTAGATTTCAAAGTGTTAAGTAACACATGGCAGACCCTGATCTCCAGGAGTTTACATTGTAAACGGGGTGAGGGAGAGGGTGTTAAGGACAGCTACAGAAATAACCCCAGTACAAGGAAGAGGAAGAAATGTGGAAAGGAGAGGTCCCAGCAAAGTGCTCTGATTTATCTGGAGACAGTGCCAACCCTTCATCAGGTCCATTGTACAGAAGAGATGTTAGACTTAACTGCCCTTTATCCTGAGGGCAAGGTTCTCAGCCTTACTGTGTGAACAGGAAACTAAAGACTTGGTAACTGCCTTTCTAATTTTCTTCTTAATGTAGATTACAAATGAAAGTTTAATAAACTAGGGCTAAGAACATCGAATTCATGCTAACATAAGCTTTACATACATTCGTGTTTTAATCACTTCTTAAGGGCCAGACAATGTGGTTTGCTCTGTATTTTTAAATAATAAAACTAGTTAATGGAGTTGAGAGGATTGGGAATGTGGAATACATTTTAAGGTGTTTGATTTTTCAAGTAAGGCAACTTTCAAGGGCAGTTGTTTCAGGAAATGCTACTGATGAACTTCAAATAAAAAAATGAATTTGCTTCTCATATGTCACTCCTTTGATCACGAAGGTTTTGTTGCTTTTTAAAAAGAGGCTGTTCAGTGAATCTGAAGTCAGAAAAACCTGAGTTCAAATCTGACCTCAGACACTTAATAGTTGTATGACTGTGGTCTCTGGGAAGTTCCCAAAGACAGAGAAAATCTCAGGACAGCAATGATGAAGACAGAGGCACGGAAAGCTGCTCCGTTGATATAAATGGCCAAGTTTTGAAAAGCAGCTTGTGGTTTCTTCACACACAGGGTGAGCCATAAAGAGTTAAAAGGGAGCAGTCACAGGAAAGGAACAATTTCCTAAACAAGATGCTGGCTAGAAGCTACACAGGCAAATTACAAAAGGAGATGAGTTATACAAAAGAAATTGGATGTGACAGAAAGGTGCCTGGTTGTAGCATTTCAGAACCGATTCGAACAGGCAGGGGAAGAGGGTTTGCCATGAAATGGTGTGCTCATTTAATTGGGTTCCCATGGGGCTTAATCTGAGTGGAATTACATAAGACCTCAAATCAGTGCCTTTAAAGAAATCTGTTTGGCTCCACATTCAGAAGCAGAGATAAAGAAACGCGAATCTCATTGGCATAATGAAAAGCGTTGGTGTTTTTTGTTTGTTTTTTTTTTTTAATTCTTGTTTTTATTTTTAGTGATCTCAGCAGTAAGCTTCCTGTGTGGAATTGCCTTTCCTTGCTCCTATATTCAAGCCTTTCTACCTTTACGAGCCCATTGATAGAAGGTTGTTGGCAAGAGCTCTCCCCTCATTTCCTTAAATTAAATTAAAGGGGAACTCTTGCTTCCCAGAACACGGACATGCCCCAAATTTTGCCTTACGTGTGTAAACGACACCATGGTCAGCCACATTCTCTTTCCTATACCAGGCACATGTAGCATCTGCTCAGTAAAGTGACCAAAGTAGCCTTGGTCTGTGACATTTTTAACAGTGTCTTTCACTATGTTTTACAGATCCCCCCTTTCTCTTCTCTTTCTTACTATATCTATCGTTTCCCAATCTCTAATTCTCCAAGCAAAGGGTCTTCATAGCTCTCTACCTTGAACTTCTGTTGATATTGGCAAAGAAGTTGCTTTCTTCCATAAGCCTGAAACCAGGAAAATACAAATGCATTTTGTTTGTTTGTTTTTTTCAGGTCAAAGAAACACATATAACCCCCTAGGAGTATCGGAGCCTAATGCTAATCCTACAGACTGTCAAATCTTTACACTTACTCCTCCCCCTGCTACACGGCCTCCAGTAACAACCTCCAGGCCTGTCACTTTAGGAACCAGATGGTGCCATTTTCCTCATCTCAGAAAACCCGGAATCCCCTTTGGTTTTCCCAACCATCCTTTCAGACATCCAAACTACGGCCACCATCCTCATTTACCGCCTCACATCCATTGTCGTCATCCATTCTTACTGCCTCGGAGAGGTTACTACCCTCACAAGTACTTCCCCGGAAGAAAGTCCTCAAGCTCATCAGAGGAATCCTGAAGGAAAAGAGAAATCCCTCCCCTTCTGAAGCGGATATGAAAGGAGCCAGATCTCCAGTGGAGGAAGAAAGCCTGTTTTTCTCTTTAAAAGATATAGTTTGGATTCTAATGAACAACTGGGAAACCAAAGGGGAAACCTGGCCTTGGTTCTTTTAGTCAGCAGTGAAGGAACAATGACAGGGACTACATTTGACTTGTCATATGTCTCTCAGGGCATTTATCTCCCATAGGATGAAAACCTCAAAATTGATGGTGCCCATGTCAATGAATGGAAGGATATTAAATATTGGGAGAATTTTTCACCTCTTCTAAACTACTGTTCCCTTGACCTCCCCTCAGCAATACCCAATGAGTAATCAACCTATGGGAGGGTGGGAAGAGATCCAGCCCTCCCTTCCAATCCTGGGGTTTGTCTCCAACACAAACATATCACTCTCTTCACCTTTTATCTCCTAACACTCTCTGTCACTCTTTTCTGTCTCCTGGCTATGCAAGCTCCTCCTATACTTTCCCCTTCTGTCTGGTGTAGGCTCCAGCACCACCTGTTCCAGGGTTCCTTTAGGAAACTTCTCTCACATTCCCTCCTTTCCCCCCAAGGTACCCACACCCTGCCCCCGGGTCATCTCTCGACTGAAGCAGGCACCCCTTGTTAGGGTCTCTGCCCGCTGATTGGATCTATGCTCTGGGGCAGTGGCCAGTGAGTGAGAGCCCACACATCCATCCTTCTTCATTTCTGGTGGGTCAGAGCACATTGTACAAGATGAGAAGGCATGGATGGGTTGTACTCTTCTTTGCCGATCTCATTATATTATCCCTCCTTGAAACTTTCCCTACCCACCTTTTCTGAATTTCCCTGTTAATGTCAAAGTAATATAATAAAGCCATCCTTCTGATCGTGCAAGTTCACAACCTCGGCTTCATCTTCTATTTGGTGCTCTCTCATACTCCATGTGTCCAATCAGTGCCAACACTGCCCTTTCTACCTCTAGAAAATCTTTCCCATCTGCCCCCTTCTTTCTACTCACATAGCACCACTACCCTAATGCAGACCCTCACTGTCTCTGGATTTCCTAACTGGTATCCCTGCTTTAAGCCTCTCCCCACTCCAACGTATCCTCCACACAGCTGCCAGTGATTTTGTTAAGACAAAGGTCCAATCATGGCACTCCTTTGCTCAAGAAATTCCAGTGGCTCTCCTTCAACTTCAAGATCAAATATTATTTTTATCTTCATCTCTTTGTTCTGTAAATTTTATCATGCACATAATTGTATATGCGCAGGAATTATGTGTGCACTGTAATATAGACACAATTTTAAAATAAGTAAATACTGATGAGGGTGCATGTTAAAGACCAAACATGCAGCCTGGGATAGGGGGAGTTGGCTGGTGGCCCCACAACACCCTCAAGTGGGCCTGGAACCTGATTAAAATGTAATTGGGAAACATTTAACAAAATAAATGAAAATGCAATAAAACAGAGATAATATTACATGTTTAAACTAAGTTAATCTGCAGCTGCAAGTATCCTTACATATAGATTAGTGGCCTCAATTCTATTTGAGGTTGACACCACCGCTCTAAATCACAGCAAAGTTTTCAGAGTGGTTAACACAAAACTATAAAGCAGGACGAAGATATTTGAGGGCAAACTCTAGAACAAAGGAGTCGACATTTAATTGGGGAGGGGGGTCGAGGAGCGGCCAACTGGCAATTTCAGGGAAGGATGCAAAGTAGTCTTTGAAAGAAATTCTAAAGATCAAAGTTAAAATGTAACATTTTAGGGGCACCTTAAGGAAAACCATTAGAACCCTATATCATTTTTTAACTGGAGTGTCTGCACTAAATTAATTCTAGAAATGCCCATTCCAGACAGTATGAAAACTGTAGTTAAGTCATTTTTCAGTCATAACCAATTCTTCATGACCCCATTTGGGGTTTTCTTGGCAGAGATGCTGGAGTGGTTTGTCATTTCCTTTCCCAGCTCATTTTACAGATGAGGAAATTGAGGCAAAGAGGGTTAAGTGACTTGCCCAGGGTCACACAGCTAGAGAGTATCTGAGGCCAGATTTGAAATCAGGAAGATGAGTCTCCCTGATTCCAAGCCTAATCCACTGTACCACCCTAGCCTTTTCAAAAATTTTTAAATTAGTATTAATTATAATTACCTCCTAAAAAACATGTGGTACAATTCCAAATACAGGGGACAATTAAAAAAGGTATGACTAGTTTTCTAGCTCAGGAATGCCACAGATATAAGTTAATTGGGCTAGGGGAGGCCTTGTGATTTTAGCCAGAGGTATCAAGCATGCCAGAACCAGATGAAAATGTTAAGTGAAAAATATTTACCAAAATAAATAAAAATACAATAGACCATAGATAAGGTTACTATGTGGTTTTCCAAGTCAATATGTGGCTGGCAGGGAATCCTTCTGTTTAGTTTAGTGGCTAGTCTCCATTTGCTCCAGGTTACCACTCTTCCAGGTTGGAAATTCCATCTGCTGATTATTTGTTAGCCCGCCCTGCAGCACGTCATCTACTTGCGCCCTTCACTGCCTCTTCAGGACAGGAGTACTTCTTCTGGTCTCCCATCTTATTGCTGAAGGCAGTGCTTGGCAATTGTCATTAGAATTCTGGTCTTGGAGTCAGGAATTGTCAGGGTCAAATCCCACTTCTGACACTTTATAACTGCAGGCAAATCACTTCATATCTGTGTCTTTCTTTGTATGCATGGATGTTATGACTAAGGCTCTGTAGACTGATATTCATGATAGGAAGGAACAACTCAATGTAAGCCAACCAAAATTGATGAAGAATAATTAAGAAAAGAAATTTGAAGCAACTGATATGGACAAATAAATAATTTACACCCATCCTGTCTTTCTCCAAATGATACTGCTTAATTAATGTCCATGCATGAATGCTGATGCTAAGCAATATGAACAAACTGTAAATAACTGGAAGATTTTAGGAAAAGCTGTCTAGAAGATGAGAAAGACACACAATTTTATATCCTATTTTCTTGATCTAATGATACAAAAAGAAGGGGAAATAACCACTTTTTTACACTTTTCATGACAAATCTTTTAAGTTCAATGTTAGCAATCATCTCTAAATACAATTTAAAGTATATTTTAAAAATTATACAAAATACTAGACTAGACTATCATCAGTAAGATCTATAAGCTCTCAGCTATACATTGCTTAGTAGTAATTGGAGGCAAAGCTAATAAGTCTATAGTTATTGGGGCCAACCTTGAGCAAAATTATGAAGAAGGCCAAGTATTTGGTGCCAACCTCCCCTTTTGGAAAGAAGGAAGAAAGGAAGGGAGGAAGGAAGGAAGGAAGGAAGGAAGGAAGGAAGGAAGGAAGGAAGGATGAAGGGAAGAAGGAAGGATGAAGGGAAGAAGGAAGAAAGGAGGGAAGGAAGAAGGAGGGAGGGAAGGAAGGAAGGAAAGAAGGAAGGAAGGAAGAAAGGAAGGAAGGAAGGAAGGAAGGAAGGAAGAAAAGGCAAGAGGGAAGTCAGTCAGTTTTCTGGAGATGAGCCTCTCTGAACTTAACTAGTCTAGTCCTTGTACAACAAACACACAATCCATTTCAGAGACCCAGCAGCTGAAATACTATGTCCTGCAAACAAGGAAGCAACACATCCATCATCTATGCAGGACCCAGAAGTGAGCATGGTGGGAGGAATATTTTGTAATCATTCTCCCCAGGAACTGAAGGGGGAAAAGAAAGGGAAGAGAGAAGGGAATAGGCATTTATATAGTATCTATGTGCCAGGCATTGTGCTAAGAACTTTATAATTATTATCACATTTAATCCTCACAACAACCCTGGGGGGTAGGTGCCTGTCAAGGCTTGATGGAAGTGTCAGAGCCAGGATCTGTCCCGGATCTCTCCTAACTCCAAAGCCCAGTGTTCTCTCCCATCTGCTGCTGGTGGCATTCTCTCCTGGAGGCTGATCATGACCAGTGTTGAGGCAGATATCCAGAGAACTGGTTTCCCTATCAATTATTCCTCTGGTGACAGTTCCTGGCCCACTCACTCTTGTGATGCCCCCTATGTACATGCTTCAGTTTGCCAAGGTTCCTCTTCCAATACGAGGCACCCAAATTAAGGTCATTTCCCAAATGTAGTTTGACTAGTAAAGGGTACAATGGAATGAACTCTTTCCATCATTCTGGTGGCCATTCGTCTCTTATTAAGAAGCCCAGGATCACATGAGGGTTTTGTCAAACAGGTCTTATGGAGGACTTACAATAAACTTGTAACCCACCGAACCCTTCCATGCTGGGTCTTTTTCACATCCATTAAAAAGCTGGGTCATCTTTACCCTATACTTGTGTGACTGACTTTTCAGACAAGCAATTTAGACTTATCGCCATGACGTGTCATCATATTATTCCCACTGTGCTCAAAAAACTTGGTATCTTGACTCTTATATGTAACCACTAAACTTATTAGTTACCCCTCCCCACTTCGTGTGCCCAGGACATATATGTATGCCTCTCTGTCCAGTCATTGATAAAAAAAAAGGCTAATGAGAGGCTCTCCTTAATACTGCTATCAATTAAGTCACACTCTTTGGATGTTGACTTTTCAACCACCACAAAGCCATGCAACTGTCTCTCCAGACCCCATTTTTCTTTTTTTGCCTACTGATTAAAATCATGTAACTCTGAAAGTTTTTAAGCAAACTTAACAAAATGGGGATTATGTTTGATCTGCAAAATGGATCTACAAATCATGGAGTCAGCCAATAACAATAATAATAACAACAACAATAACAACATTTAGAATTTGTATAATGCCTTAAGGTTTGTAAAGCACTTCTTACAAATATTATCTTATTTTATCCTCACGACAACCATGGAAGGTAGGTACTATTATAATCCCCATTTTACAGATGAGGAAACTGAGGCAGACAGATTAAGTCACTTGTCCAGGGTCATACACACAGCCAGGAAGTGTCTGAAGCCGTTTCTTGGCTCAAGACTGAACTAGCTGCCTCTAAAAACATACATGTGCCCCATGTACACGATGGCATTGTCCTTATTCTCCTTTACAAAGGGATAAATAAATTTAAACAATAAAAAAAACCTTCATAATAAATATATCACATTGGGATATAACCTCCAAAGGTTTTACTGTGGTGATATTTTTAAAGAAAAAAGTCATGATGTCTGGCATATGCTTCTACCTTGAATCTCTACAATATCTGCTTCTTCTGGTGAAGACACAAAGGACTGCTTGTAAGAGGCAGCAGGATCGTATCAGGGAATTTCACTTTAAGTTACTTTGAATAAAACTAACCAAGGTCATCCACTGCTTCGAGGGCCATCGCCAGTTGTCTTGACTTTTGTCCCTCTACTGAACTTTAATGACTCTGGAAGAGAGAGTGAGGCTGATTTGTGCAACTCTGCCTCACTTAAATCCAATTCATACGTAAGTCAAGACATCACCCCATGGTGTCATTGGTCCTCTTTGAAAATGAAGGACAAACAACAAAAACAAAACAGACCAGTGGGAACTGTCTAGGAAAATAATCATTCACTCCTAGAGAAAAATGATGAAGCTTCAGAAACAGCTCTTGTGCTATGGACATTCTGGACACCCTGAGGAAATGCTCACACAAAACGTGATGTCACTTTGATGTCACAGGAGCAGGGAGGGAGCTGCCATTTCCATTTCCCTCGGCCATGTGGATGAGCTCTAATGGATCAGACCAGCTGGGTGCTCTAATCTGGTCCAAGTCACAGCTGTCCAGATCCAGTTGTCTCGAGGAAAGGGGGTCAGCAAGGAGATGAGCACAAAAGGGCTAATGAGGGGTCTCTCTGGCTTCCCACCTTGCTGACAGTGTGGTGCTGGAACTTAGCTGGGCACACTATTCCAGACCCAAGAGAATCTGGAATTGATGGGGAGGCCCAGAGGGGTGCATCAAAATGTCATTCCACTATCATGGAGGAATCATCTAAAACACTTATTCTCAAAATTGTTATAGAAAGAAAAAAACAAGTGATGTCAACTCCTTGGATTTTACTGAATTCTAAAAGGTAGTTAACATAATTCCCCCTCTTCTCTTCTCCTGCCAAGGTCTCTTATTGAGGATTTGAGCCTGCCAGTGTCTTAAAACAAAGAAGGCTATATGCTGTCAGGACTATGCTAAGACATTGGCAGCCGAAGAAGGTTTTTCCCTTTGCCAGAATTGTCCTTGTGTGGTCCCCTGCGACGGAGGATAATTGGAAGGGCCAGAGGAGACCAGATTTTCATGAAACATTGATTGCATGTCTATACAAACCACAGAAAGCACACTGATAGGTATGTATCCAAGCAGGAGGAATTAATATGACAGCAATGCCAAGCAACAATTAAGTTTTTAATGCTTTTTGTAATTGAATAATGAGGTGCAAAAGACCAAGAGTAGAAGGGCATTTTCCAACATGACCTCCCACTCTTTGCCTTTGCTCCACCAATCTCAGCCCCAAGCAAATATCTATGTATGTATGTATAGATAAAGATATCTATATAGATACAGATATAGATATAATTGATGCAGACATTACAGAGAACTCAACACATTAGTAATATCAACTTGAAAAAAATACATAATATTTCTCTTTACACACATTTTTCCTCACCCCTCCCTAAACCATTCCAACCTGTTAAATTTAGTTTAGTTCTTCATCCTACCAGCAAATGACCATTCACGCAGCTCGTGGCCCCCTTCTCCATCCAGAGGTACTGTGGAACACGATTACCAAGGTGGAAGAGGTAATGCCGTGATGGTGGGAAAATGCTGACTCCGTCTTAAATACAACGGAAAACCACTGTCCTTTTGTTCCCCTTTCATTTTCACAGTGTTGCTCCCAGGAATAACAAGGCAATTCAATGGGATATATTACTCCACATTTTGCTCTTCTCCCAGAATGTCAATAGTCTGATTCCTGGAGCTTGTCATCCTAGATTTTGGAGTATAATCTAAGACACATATTAAAAAGAAATCAAATATATCAGCATTCCTATATAGCAACAACAAAGAGAAATACCTTTAAAATAACTACAAAATGGATACAATATCAGAATCAATCTTCCAAGAAATAATCAAGAATTATATAATATAATCACAAAACCCTCTTTAAAGAAATTAAGACAAATAGTTGGATGGATATTCCCTGATCATGATTGGGCTATGCCAATGTATCAAAAATTATTATGCTACCTAAATTAATTTATAGATTTATTACTATGCTACTATTAAAACTACCAAAAGGATACTTTATGTAGCAGAATACTGGGCATATAGTAAGTGCTTAATAAATGCTCCATCTATCTACTGGTCAGTCAATCTATCTAGAGATAGACAAAATAATATCAAAATTGAGTTGTAGGAATAAAATGTAAAGAATCTTAAGGGAAACAATGGGGGGAAAAGAGAAGAATGAAGGGGGAATAGCACTTCTAGACCTCATTATAAAGCCATAATCATCAAAATTATTTGGAACCAGCCAAAAGAGAGAAAAATGGATGAGTAGAACAGTCTAGATAAACAAGAATGAGAAACAATTAAATTCAATAATCTCAAGGACATAAGCTATTTAAGTAAAGACTTCCTATTTGATGAGAACTGCTGGGAGAACTAGAAAGCAGATAGCCCAAAAGTAGGTATAGATAAGCAACTTACACTGTATAGTACAATAGGTTCCAAATGGATACCCAACTTAAATACAAAAGAGCTCAATATTAAAAAGCTGAAGGAAAATCATTGGAGGTATCTTTCACAACTGTAAGTAGTGGGAGGATTCTTAACTAAGCAAGGGATATAAGAGATCATAAAAGAGAAAAGGCAGTTTTGATTTTATGGAATTAAAAAGCTTTGGCATGAACAAAATCCATGCAGCTAGCATAAGGAAGGAAATTGTTGATAGGGAAAAATCTTTGTCTCGAATCTCTCAAAAGGGGCTGCTCTCTAACCAATATAGGGAATTGATGTAGATTTATAAGACCAAGACCACTGATCAGAAAATAAGTACTCGACACATATGAACGGTCCTCAAAAGAAGGGCAAGCTATTAACTATTAATTATGAAATATTTTTAAACACGTAAATACTGTGGGCACCCAGCAAGAAACAGGGGCCAGACCAGTGCCCAGGCAGTGCAGCATCCAAGTAGCCCCACACCTAAGAGACACAGGAGTTTCTGAAGAATGCAGGTCCAATGCTTAGCCACCACATCCAGGACCAAGCAGAGGTTGCCCACATCATCCAAGGATAAGGGAGGGTGGCAATAGAACCTGACCCAAGTACAAAGCCCCAATCCAGAAACTGAGGCTGGAGATAGAAGTAAAAGGAAGAAAATGATAATGAAGGAATATTATGGACTTCAAGAAACCCAAGAGGTAAATCCAGATATATAGAACAGGATGAGTAAATAAGAAACAGAATAGGTAAGTGGAGTGTGGGTTGGGGTATTCTCATGGGAGAAATCCAGGAACCAGGACAGGGGTGGTGGATAGATACTGTTCAGGTAAAGATCAATAAAGAAAAAACAAAAGCAATTTCATTCCTGAAGTATGCAACAGATCCCTGGAGACATCCCAAGTCTACCACAGGAACATGATATAGGAACAAGAGACCTCAGTTACCCAGGTGTCTGTGAAGGCTCTCTCTTTCAAAATCAGAACAGTTAATAATTTCTTGACTTGCTTTAATGAGAATTCCATCCTTCAGAAGGTGAAGGAAAGACAAAGGGACATTCTATTTTAGACATGATCCTCACTAACATGGAGGCCCTGGTTGCTAGGGTGGAAATTATGGGGAATTGGGTAAAAAGGGCCCCTTCTTCTTAGAGTATATGATAGAAAATGAGAAGCAGAGGGAGTACGGGGAGATGGCACCGGACGTGGAGGCAGGAAGACCTTGGTTCAAAACCCACTTCATACAAACAGAAAAGTGAAGAGCCTTAAGGCCGTGTCATAAGAAACTGGGTATGTGTAGCCTAGAGAAGAAAGGGCTCACAGGAGCCATGATATGTATTTGGCTGTCCTATGGAGGTGCATCAGACTTGTTCTATTTCATATTAGAAGGCAGGACAAGGAATGGTGAATGGAAGTTGTAAGAAGGCATATTTAGGTGTGACGTCAAAAAACCTTCTTTAGAATAAGAGCTGTCCAGAGAGGAGTGAGCTCCCCCTTCTTAGAGGTCTTCAAGCAAAGGTTGGAAGACCACTTGAAGTTCAAGTATGTTATATAGGGGGTTCTCCTCAGGTACAGCTTGAAACGAACTAGACGGGCACTGAGGTCCTTTCTACCTCTAAAATCCTGTGATTCTGCAACTGGGAAATGGCTGAACATACAGCAGTATATGGATCCAATGTGATTTTACTGCACTGTAAGAAACGGTAAAAATAAATGACTGAACAAGTTGTGGTATATGGTTGTGACAGAATACTGCCATGCAATAAGAAATGATGAGCTCAATGATGTTGGAAAGACTTGCACGCAATGGTGAAAAGTGAAGTGAGCAGAATCAAAAGAACATTGTATACAGCAGGGGTGGGGAACTTGTGGCCTTCTAGGTCCTTGGGTGCAGCCTTTTGACTGAGTCTAACTTTTACAAAACAAATCCTTCTATTAAGGGGATTTGTTCCGTGAAGTTTGGATTCAGTCAAAGGGCCACACTTGAGGACCCCACTCCTGGTATACAGTAACAGAAATATTGTTTTAAGAACAACTTTGAGTGACTAGGTCATTTTGACTATTATAAACACACAAATGAAAAATAAAGGACATATGAAGAAAGACACTATCTGCATCCAGAGAAAGAACTAGCAAATAGAAGTACATATAGAATAATTGTACATATACATATATATGAATGTGCATATGTATACATACATACATATATATATGTATGTATATATTTTATATGCACCTATTTGTGTCTAATGGTTGCCATATTTAGGGTAGGGCAGGGGGGAGGGAAGAAAAAAGAAGAAAAAGAAATTTACATGATAACTTTATTGTATATTTAAGAAGGGAAAAAAAGAAAAAAATGGTAAATATGAGGAATTTGGAAAACTATGGGAAGAACACAGAACAAAGAGAAGAACACGTACAATGACTACAATAAGGTCATTGATGACAACAATATAAAGTACTTGGACTATGAAGTCTTATAATGAACAAACTGAGTCTGAGAGAACTAATAACTCTTCTTAGTAGAGGTGGGGATGACAGATGGCAGAATGCTATATACATGTCATATGTATCTGCTGGATGCTGGCTTTTTTTAAATGTGTGATTGGAGTGGGGCGGGGGTAAGAGAAGATGACTGTGGTATAAACGCAAAAGGTAGGAATACAACTTCAAAAAGACAGGTACAAATTAAATAATTCTGAGGTATTACCTCATACTCATAAAATTTGCAAAGATGAAAAAAGTGAATGTGGGATGGGGGGGGTGCTGATGATAGTATTAGGAACTGGTCCAACCATGCTGAAACACAATTAGCCATTATATTAGAAAAGTTACTAAACTGTTCACACTCTTTGGTTCAGCAATCCAACTTCCAGGCTCATGCCACAATTAAGCCAACAGCAAAAACAAAGGCATCAGACATACCAAAATATTCACAGCAGCATGGCTTAAAGTGGAAAAAAAAACTAGAAAGCAATTATCAGCCTAATGATTGGGAATGGCTTAATAAATCTTAGTATATCAATACAGTTCAATTTAATAAGCATTTATTAAGCACCTAATATATACAAGGCACTGTGCTAGGCACTGAGGATCCAGATACAAAAATGAAACCATCTCTGCTCTCCAAGAGCTTACTTTCAACTGGAGTATTATTATAATGTATATAACGGAAAATATGATGAATTTGAAGAAACACAGGGAGACTAGTATGAACTGATGCAGAGAAAAGAAATTAAACCCAAAGAATATTTACAACAACTATAATAACAGCAATGAAGACAGCAATTTAAAGGCAACAGGATTCGGGTAAAAGATAATGGACATTGTTGTTTCCAAATGATTAAAGAAGAAACAAATCCTTCCTCTCTTTTAACAAACAGTAAACTACAAAAGGTAAAAGTTATTAGAACTGTTAGTTTTAATCACTACATTAAAACCATTTTGATTAATGTTTTAATAACTTACAATGACAAGAGATTGCTTATTGGCATGTTAATGAAATGCCAAAACAAAATGTATCAAAATTTCATAAGAAATAAAATCTCAACATAAAAAAAAATCAAATCTTCAGAAAACCTTGGATTTCCTATGAAATATTTCATTTAAGAGACACAGGAAGTTACAAGAGACGATAGCTACCATGATGCAGGCCTTCAGCTTTCCTCAGTTTGGGTGCTCCACACGAGGGAAGCCGGCCTCTGGAGGTGCTGGCAGTGAGGACCCTGGTACCTGCAAATCAGTGAACAAGAGTTACAAATTCACAGTAAATTAAAAGCCTCACTTCTTTCCTCTCCCAGAGGTGGGGTTCTGGGGGTGAGTCCCTGGTTACTCAAATATCATCAATGTTCATAAGCTTAAATTCCATTCCCTAAGAAGGAGGACGCGAGGGGGAAGAAGGGAAATAACTTATTATTTTACACACCTCCCAAAAAGTATGTTTTGTAGTCATTGTACTGTTCTCTTTGTTCTGTGTTCTTCCCATAGTTTTCCAAGGTCCTCATATTTACCATGTTTTTCTTTTTTTCTTCTAAATATACAATAAAATTATCATGTAAATTTCTTTTTTTTTCTTTTTTTCTTCCCTCCCCTCTGCCCTACCCTAAAGATGGTGACCATTAGACACAAATAGGTGTATATATATCATATATATACATACATGTGTATGTATGTATACATACACATGTATGTATATATGCAATTATTCTATATGTACTTCTATTTACCAGTTCTTTCTTTGGATTCTAAGGTATATGCCTGACAGAGATGCAGTCCTGAAAAAGGTACATCGAGAAATTCCCCACATTTACTCACTGACATCTGTGTAGGTCAGAAGGCAAGAGTGTCAGAACTTGAAGGGCTTCAGCCAGACAAGGGGGGTAAGATTGACTTACTCAATCAGCCATCCCATTCTCCTTAAAGCAACCAACAAAATATTCTAGGCCTGACACCTGACAGGTCAAAGTATCTCCACTAAATTCATTAATCAATTAAAGGCATTAAACTAATGTATGCACCGTCACCGCCTATAGTTATCTATAAAATACCAAGCTAGTTAGGAACGCAGCATGGGAGTCTCAAAGACAGCAATACAATGACCCACGATGATTCTGAAGGATTTGTGATGAAAAATAATATCCAACTCCAGAGGAAAAACTGGTGGAGTCTGAATGCAGATCAAAGCATACTTTTTTAAAATTTTATTTTTCTTGAGGGTTTTTTTTGGTCTGTTTTCTTTTACAACATGACTAATATGGAAATATGTTTTGCACGACTGTACACGTATAATCTATATCAAATTGCTTGCCTTCTCAAGGAGGAGGAAGAGGAGGGAGGAGAGAACTTGGAATTCAAAATTTTAAAATTTGTTTTACATGTAATTTGAAAAAATAGAGTATTAAATACTTATAGAAAAAAATTTAATTTTAAGAAGGGAATGTACCCCAGGTACTGATGGGGATGTTGGTACCAACTCTACAGATGGACTTTTTTATATCAGGCTTTTATCATATATAGTAGGGATTTTTGGAAAGTGAGGGATAGGGTTAGTTTTGATCCCTGATAATACTAAATCCATGAAATATGAATTATGCTATAGCAGGATTATTTTGAAGAACGCTTAATAGTCGGAATCAGTTTTTGGTGGGGTTTTGGGGGCTGTATTCCCTTAAAACGGCACTAAGGAGATGAGGTCACTGCCAGCTTTTCTTTCTCAGTAACGAAAATGCTTCTTATAATTCCAAACCACATCCTGTGAATCAACAGCCATTTACTTAGCTCCCATTGCCTGCCAGGCACTGGCCAGAAGCTGACATCCTACTGGGGGAAGCGTCTCTGTGTGTGTAAGTGTGAATTTATGCACATACACACACACTATGTAAATACAAAATAGTACAAAGTAATTAATTACAAGGTAACTTGAGGGAGGAAGCATCAGCAGTATGGAGAATCAGCAAGGCTTCATGGAGGAAGCATTTCTAGAGTTAATCTTTGAAAGAAGCAATGGGTTCTAAGAAGCAAGGGTGAAGAGGCCTGCATTTCAGACACGAGGGCGGTCTGGACAAAGGCAGATAGATGGTAAATGGAATACAAGGTGTAAGGATCAGCAAGTAGATGAGAGTGGCCGGATTATGTCTTTACTCTTATTTGTGTGCTGCTAACTAAAGCTAGAGAAAATCATGGAACTGTGCTGACTGAATCCACCACAAATATAACCTATGAAATCTTACATGGGCTGTCGCTTCCCAAATCAATTCACTGTCTGCCCCACCTCAGCACAGAAGCTCTTCTAAATCTTTTCGTTGCTCCTTGGATCCTCCAGCATTTCAACTGAGGACATGACCTGAAGCCATTCACCAAGAGCTCCATCACCTCTCTTCCTTATCTCACATCACTCACACATTTTCCCCCATTATCTCCTCCACCCCTGTCTCACATAAAGAGATGGCCCTTCTCCTTGCCAAGGAAACCCATCTTGGTGCACAAGTGATCCCACTCCATCCTGTCTTCTTCAGCAGATTACTCCCTCTTTCTTCCCCCCTCTCATCAATCTTCAGTCTCTCCCTGTCTACAAAAATGCCTGTGTCTTCATCATCTTTAAAAAAAAAATAACCCTCTTCTGATCCAGCTATCCCTACTACCTTTTATCCTATTTCTCTCCCCTCTTTCATAGCTAGCCTCCTTGAGAAAGCCATATACAACTGATGCCTCCTCTTCCCCTTATTTCACTCCCTTCTAAACTCTCTGTAGTCAGCTTCCAACCTACTATCTCCAAAATGACTAATGATCTAAGGGCTTCTACTCATTCTTCATCCTTCCTGACCTTTGATACCACTGATCATCAGGTATGGACACTGGATACTGCTGGATAATACTCTCTTCTCTCTAGGCTTTCATGACATTGCTGTCTCCTGGTTCCCCTCTTCCAGGTCTGACCATTATTTAATCTTCCTCTGGGCCATGCCCACTAACAGCAGGCATCCCACAAAACCCTATCCTGGGCCCTCTTCTCTTCTCCTTCTATACCATCTTACATGGCGATTTCATCAGCTCCTAAACATTCAATTATATTATCTATGCAAATGATTTTCAGCTTTGGTCTCTCTCCTGAGTTCCAGGCACACAGGAACCAGATGTCCCAGAGGCATCTCAAACTCAACATGTCCAAAACTGAACTGACTAGCTTTGTCCCCCACCTTAAACCTCCTCAATTCCCGACTTTTCTACTGCTGTTGAGGTCCCTCCCCATCCTGACAGTCACCCAAGCTCATCACCTTGGTGTCATCCTCAACGCCTCGCTCACCTTCCCACCACTTGGCCAAGCCTCATCATTCCTACCTTCATATTTCCAGTCTTCTTATACTTTACACCCTTGTACATCCTGGCTAATTGCTCTTCTTTGAATCCAACGTTCTGTCTCTTGACTTTGTCTTATCAAGAATGCTCTCCCTCCTTCTCTGCCTCCTCCTTTTCATCTCCTGACTCTTCCCAGGCTTCCTTCAAGACTCAGCTCAGATGCCATATCTGGCCACTGGACCCAGATGCATATAGTGAAGGAGCTGCCCACTAGGGACCAAACTTCCAGCTGGACAACACTCCTTTCTTTCTCTTTCTTTTTTTCTTTCTTTTCTCTCTCTCTCTCTCTCTCTCTCTCTCTCTCTCTCTCTCTCTCTCTCTCTCTCTCTCTCTCTCTCTCTCTTTCTTTCTTTCTCTTTTTTTTTCTTGTTTTCTTTTTTTCTCTTGAAGACCAGCCTTAACCCCAAATCACTCTGACCTCAGACCAAGCCCTTCTTGATCACACTGTTTGGGCCCTGATTGACTCAGAATGAATGTAAAAAACAATTGTTTCTGTTTTTGCCAGAAACCCCGAGGGTCTTCCCCTCCCAGATCTATTTTTTTTTGAAGAGGCCATTCTTTGCCTCATTTTTTATTAAGCCTTAATCACTGAATGGGCATTGCCTCAGTCAAAGTGAGTCCTGTTACAGACATTAGCTGCATCCTTGGCCATCTCCAGTATCTGAAACCACATGGCCACTGGACCCAGATGATTCAAGAGAGAAAGTGAGGCTGCTGACTTTGCACAGCCCTCCCTCACTTAAATCCAATTCACTGGCATGTCACGGAATCACCTCCCTGATGTCACGGTCCGATTCAAGAACAAAGGACAAACAGCAGCAGATGCCACCCTCTGCATCCCTCCAGACTCTGCTTCTAGCTTTCCTTCATCGACACTATGCCCTATACAGGTACCTTCCTCCCCTTCTGTGTGTTGTCTTTTCTCACTGGGCATAACTCTTTGGGGGTAGGAATTATCTTTATTTGTGCTTGTATTTGTGAATCCAGTGCTTACAGTGAATGCTTAATAAATGCTTGCTGTCTTACCTCCCAGGAGGCCTTTTCTAGTCCTGCCCCCTCCTGCTAGTGCCTTCTCTCTGAGATTTTTGTAGTTCAGTCATTTCAGTAGAGTCCAACTCTTTGTGACTCCTATGGGTTTTGGGGTTTTTTTAGGGTTTTTTTGTTTTTGTTTTTTTTTTGGTAAAGATACTGGAATGCTTTGCCATTTCCTTCTCTAGCTCATTTTACAAAACACGTTCAACTTGTGAATTATGTCAGGGAATTATTTCCTAGATGGTAGATCTGAAGACAGGTGTAACTATTAACTTCACTATTTGCAACAATCTATTTGCAAAATACAATATAGAGCTTAGCACTGTGCCTGGCATATAGTAGGTGCTTAATAAATGTTGATTGACCGATCGACTGATATTGAATTGACTAGTACCTACCAGGTTCTGCATTCATTTCAGCGTGAGTACTTACTGCACTAATGCAGAATATATGTTTACATGGTAGGATATTTCCTGAGCAACATGGGCCCAAAAATCTATTGCCTGGAAGCCAACATTCTGGCACTGAGGAGTTTCCAGTTAATGAACAGTAGTAATTGTTTGGAAAGCTCTATGAACTAAAAACAGATGCAACACACCGAGCTTGACAGACTCTTCTAAACTGGCCCGTTGGCCTCAAAACCTGCCCAGGAAAGCTCGACAAAGAAGTATGAGAGAAACCTGTGAAGGCTACAGCTGTACCTGACGCAAGGCCATACTGGGGCTGTGTAGCCCAAAAGCAGCCAGAGATGGAATGCAAGATTCTGAAATGATTTTTTTTTCTTTCTTTACCAGTCTAGAATTTCAAACTAAAGAATTAATACATCCATAGAGAAAAGGGGGAAAAACAGTAAGAACAGAACTTTTTTGAGATATTTTTATATACATTTTTGACCCCCATTTCTCTGGAATAAAACTGGTTTATAGTGACTGCCTGCTTTGGATTTTAGAATGCTGTTTTTGTCCATTGTTAAGACAAAAACTTTAAAATACCAAAACTTTTAGGCAGAAAGAGGAAAGGAATGAAAACAGACACCTATGCCTTCGATTCCTCTGACTTCAGGGAAGTGATTATAATTGAGTTCAGGCAAATGAACCTCTGTCTTGGAGAATTCCCATCTTTTCTGGTTTGCCTGTAGAATGTTCTTTTCATTAGAGACCTAACACCATGAGAATGTAATTGACATAACTCAAGTAACTTGAGTCAAGTAATCCTGATTTCCTCCTTGTATAACAAGGGATCTGTGATTTAGCCCGTTTGGGTTCTCCCTCTATAATCAGAGACCACAACAACTCTTTCGTGTTTTCAAGGGTTGCTATGACCCAAATGTTCATCCGCCTTCGGCCAAACTGGTGACCTTCTCCAAATGTGGCTCCATTGGTGTGCAGACAATTAACCTATAGTTTGTTACTGGCCCATATTAAAGTCTCAGCAGTTTGTTCTTCTGGAATGGCCTTCAAGATCCCAAGATGACCTCAACACCATGATGAGGCATCAGGTAGGACTGGCCAACTCAATAATCTGTGGCAACAGGAACCAAGTGTAACATGACCATCTGAAAATCAGTAATAATCCCAAAAGGCAGAGTAGCTAGTGCAGTGGATAGAGCACTGAGCCTGGAGTCAGGAAGCCTCATCTTCCTGAGTTCAAATCCAATCTTAGACACTTATTAGCTGTGCAACCCTGGGCAAGTCACTTAACCCTGTTTGCCTCAGTTTCCTCATCTGTAAAATGAGTTAGAGAAGGAAATGGCAAACCACTCTGGTGTCTTTGCCAAGAAAACCCCAAATGGGGTCATGAAGAGAAGGACATGACTGAAAAATGACTGAACAATAATACCGAAAGCATATTTTAGTCCACAGCTTCAACTGCTTATTCTATCAAACCTTTTACTAAAAATTAACTACACTACAATTGAGTGTCTCCTCCTCACTCTGCCTTTGGCTCAGGATCGAGTTAAGGTTCTTGTGATCGATGAAATGATGAAAAGATGGTCAGCAGGAAGACAAAAGCTCCCAAATAATCTTCATCTTAAACTGAGAATTGCTCTCAATTAATTACCAATTTAAAAGGAACGCAAGAGAAAAAGCAATGTAATACATAAAATTCAGCATTTCTTAAGCTGCTATCAGAGTACTAACGGACTCTTTGTTTGCAAATATTGCAGCTGAATTTTAACACTATTCCATATACACCTTTGAGGGGAATTATTAGGAGTTAGGTTCTTGGCAGAGAGAGATTCAGCTCTAAAACTGCATGGGGAAGCATATGCAGCAGGGTTGCTATCACTGAGAGGCCAAGGGAACCTCTCATCCACAGTCCTGAGCTGTTTTCTTGTCAGAGGAAGAGCTTCTCTCTACTACTGGGTTTTAAAACGTTATTATTAAAATGTTAAAATATTCATTTTTTTTTCTTTTTTTTCAGTCCAGTCTACAACAAACTACTACAGCCCTGGAGGGAGGAGTAAGTAGATTTGAGTTCTAATCCTTGATCAGTCACTGGTTGGACATGTGGCCTTTGACAAGTCACAGCATCTCTGGCCTCAATCCCCTCACCTGTTAAATAAAGAGTGGGCCTCAATTTTAAAAAACAGAATGCCTCTATGAATTTATCCAGAAACTGTTATTTTAACATTCTGTCATACATTAAGTGAGAGGGAGAGAAAAATTCTCTGCATTATGAGGTATGCTCTCATTCTAAAAAAAACTTTATATACTGAGTTTTGAACTGATAAAATCTATAATTTAGGAAATAAATTCATTTTATGTCAAATAAAAAAACTTATTGAATTGTAAGAACAATACAAAAGTACATAAAGTACATAAGAACGTACTTTAAGTAATAGCATTTAACACTAGGAAGAGCAGTGTCTCAGGATCAAAGCGTGCTATCTTAAACGAGTAACTCACTCTGATATGAGGAGCTCTTTCTTTTGGGACACAGTTTCCGGATACAACTAACTCTGAGCCTCTTCACCATTGTGTTTAATACCAAAACAAGGCCAGAACTGGCAGAGCTTTCATTTTTTCCATTAAGGGAAGGTCACTCACCAGTGTGATCAGGTTAGCATTATAATGGCTACCCAGCTTAACAAATGGAATATAGTTCTTCTTAGACTTGTCATCTACCCTTTAATGGGGAAAATCAAAGCAAAATTGAGTCAGAATGATCAATTACAGCATTTTCTAAAGTTCAAAATATAAAAATGATCAAATGTAACAGCATCTAAATATTATTTACTGTTTGGTTCTCAGACTACTTATCACACACAGAGATCTGACGTATACCTTTTACTACAGTCATTTTCCAGGCCTATATAATTCATATATGCTGCTTTATTTATCACAACATGCCAACATCTCACTAAAGACATGCAAATAATCAAAGCCATCATCCTCTTTTCTTACGACAATTGCCCTCCAATCTAGGTGAAAGAACTAAGCTCTCCTCCCACCCTCTTTGAGACTGTTAGCTATGTTTAGACTTTGAGACTGTATGACTCTTTGCTCAGGTCTCGGATGAGCTTTGTTTATTTGTGCTCCTGATGTCTTAAATAATTATGTAACATGAGGACCCTCATGGCACAACTCAAGCCTCGTTCTGGTGATGTTTCAAAAGCCTGCTGCCAAAATATTCAATATGGCGGAACATACAGAGACTGACAAAGTATTTGAAAATATGTTTTTAAGTAGAATGTTTGACTGTGCTTATCCCACTCCTACCTGTAAGTGTAAGCTGCTAGAATACGCCTCACCCTGAATTTACACTGCAAGCAAAGCTGGAAATACTGTGTAGGAATCACCATGCTGGGATTCTTTGTGCAATCCATACTGATGCTGTTGGGAACTCCAAAGGTGGCTAGATAAACTGTTCTGATCTGACTCATTCCACTATCTGGGAAACAGCCAAGAAGAGAGGTTTGGCTGGGTTTTTCAATCTTTTCACTATCGGCTTTTGGTGGCTTCATTTTGACCACTTTAGAATCCCTAGTTTTAGGATTAGCATTGACATTCTGTTCACAAAAGAAAATGTTAACGGGACTATTGATCAGAGAAGGATAAAAAAAAATAACCTCTCTTATTATAAGAATATCAGCCATAGAATAATTTTTATGCTTTTTTTTGTTTCTTTTTTAATAGTCTTCCAGTAGAAGGGAATTAAAATTAATGAAGAAATTCTAGCGTTGAGATTCATTTGCAAAAATATCAAAAGAATGAGCATGTAATTCATGCTAGCTATCATCCACAAAGCGTTCCATTTTCAGGTTCAAGAACTCTGAATTCCCTCTCTTTTTTGTGAAATTCCTGATCACAATCTTTTATCTTTCCCTATTCCTCATAAACTTATTCTTCAAACTCACTGTGCCCTCCAGCCCCTTGGTAATATCCTAGGCCAACAGCTCAACTCTGGCTACACTCTCTCTTCTTGGTGAACCAGATCAAATCTACCTTACCTTCTTCTCTTGAATCTCCTGCTCTCTTATTCTATCAACTATCATCCCTTGCCAAACCGCAACCCTGGATTATTCCTACCATCTTGCCTCTTCAGAACAGCGGTGACTGGGTCCACTAAAATTTATTTTGGCTAATCTCAAATGGGCCCTCACTACATACAGCAAAGCAAGCCTGTTGCTGTTGTTCAGTCGTGTCCCACTGTTCGATGACCCCCATATGTGGTTTTCTTGGCAAAGATACTGGAATGGTTTGCCTTTTCATTCCCCAGTAGATGAAGGCAAACAGAGGTACATGACTTTCCCAGGGTCACACAGCTAGCAAGCGTCTAAGGCCGAATCTAACTCTTCCTGACTCTAGGCTTAGCGCTCTATCCACTGAGCCACCTAGCAGCCCCCTACTCTATCTCATTCACCACAGCACCTGTTCCGAAACTTTTCTTCTCTCCTTAAGATTCCCAACTTTCTGACAATACTGAGGCTCTTCTGTTCACTAAGGTCAACTCTCCTATGTGTACCCTTGATACCATTCCCTTCATCTTCTCCAGAAGACTGCACAACCCTCTAGTCTTTTATCTACTGGCTCTTTCCCTGCTGCCAACAAATATACCCAAAGTTGTCAGTGTCCTTAAAAAACACTCACTAGATCCTACAATGCCTGCCAAACGTAGTCCTATATCTCTTCTCCCTGTCTCAGCTAAACTCCTTGGGAAAAAAAAGATGCCTCTATTTCCCTTCTTCTCACTTCTAAGCTTCTTTCTTTATTTTTCATAATTTCCACTCCATTACTTAGTTAGAGATATTTTATCAGTTGTTGTTCAATTAGTTTTTTCACCAAATGCCTAATTCCTTGATTTGTTCTTTCTCTCTTTTGTTGATGAAACCATTGAGAGAAGAACTACTTCAGGTGCATCCTATACTTTTTTACACATTGTCTCATTAGTGTCATTTTCAGTGATAAAATATTCTATATTTCCATAATTTGTCGTCTGACCCACCAGTTTTTTAGAGTTATGTTAGTCTCCAACTAAATTTATCTGTAACTGAAACTACACCTTCCAAAGCTACCAGTAATTTTTTTTCTCATATAACAAAGATTTTATTAGTCTTTGATTGGTTATTAGTATATAGACACTATGAAGAATCTACATTTTTAAAATACTCCTGTCAAAAAAATCTAAATACAACATACATGTCACCCTTGAAAAGGGACATCAAACAACAGTATCCTCAAATATGGATAAAGGATAAGGTTTTTTACAAAGCAAAGTTTCACTAATTCTATATCTGATAAAATCATACTCACTATAATGCAATTCTATTCTTTTACATCACATTAACAAAGTTATTAAGGAAAATAAATCTGCCACCATTATCAAAGATGACAATGTCATAGCACACATCTTTGAAGGGAGACCCAACACCAGGGGCAGTTTTATTTAGTAAACAATTGTAATAAAAGACAAGATGGATACTACACAATGTTTAGAATCAGGAAAAAGATAATTGAGGAAATTTTTCTATTCTTCCCTGTTCTCTCATAAGAAAATTAGGCTTGAGGGGGGTACCATAAAACAGACCTCAATTTACCCACAAGATAAATTTCAGAACAAATTAAGGACTCAAGTTTCCTAAAAGGAAGTGAGAGAGTGGGGAAGATGACAAGAGATGACATACATACACACAGAATACATCTAAGAGAAAGTATAAAAAGTCAAAACCAAGCTAAGATAACTTACTATTTGAAAACTGCAAATTTCTCTTGAGCTTTTAATTAAAGAAATGTAGAATTCAGCATATTGAAAGCAAATTGAAAACATGACACACATTTACCTGTATAACAAGTGTTTTTCTTTCTTCACCTGAAGAATCATCATTTTCCTTTTTACTGACTTCAGATATTTTTATTGAAGAAAGTTCTTTGGCATCTTTCTGTATCTTTAATTTTAGCTCCTGAGAAAACCTACAAGATAAAACATACTTGCAAATAAAGATAACCCCATAATAGAGATGTAAATAAATACAGGAATGATTAGACTTTCAAGAAATTTAATTTAATCAAGTTAAAATGATAACTAATTATGGCCTTGGTGAACACCATTATATTGAGAAGCGATTAGACAAGCATCACATATAATTCAGTGACTGATTAAACATGCTGCCGATACACAATACATGACATTAATAATAGCATTCAAAAATAATGTGAATTAATTACATAAACTATGATGAATGCAGTAATCTCTTTCTTGAATTAGATAGAACCTAACTGAATATTTTGGGGATTTTTTCCAGAATAATGGCAGAACAGGATATAGAACAAATCAAACTCTGATAGGCTTTTTCCAGTCACATATAATAAATAAGTTTTGTCATCTATTTCTATATTCACATATGTTAAAATAATAATATAACATCATTCGGCACAGAAAAATATAGTGCTGGTGCAATGAATCATGTTTTCAATCAGTTGACATTCACTGAGCATCTACTACATGTACCTACCCTCAAAGAGAAATATATATATATGTACACACATATAAATATATAATACACACATGTATATATATATATTATACAAATATATGCATAAATATATACAGATACAGATACTTTTAATTCAACAAACTTTTATCAAAAATCAACTCATTCCTGGGGTGGAATATAACAGTCTCTGAAGAATAAAAATGGTGACTACCCAAAGGGCAGTATAGAAACACATGGTAGGTGTAAATACACTGCAGCACCTTACAAATGGTGGCATCAGTGGTATAAGGACTTTCATTGCAAGATTTTCTTTTCTTTAACCAGTTGAAGCATAGTATTGTGTGATCTTTTATCTTTGATCTAGAAGTTCTGAATTTTGGTTACAACATTCTTGGGTACTTTCAGTTTAGGGTTCCTTTCAGAAGGTTCTTGTGGATTCTTTCTATTTTCACTGTACCCGCTGGTTCTGATAGAGCTATGCAGTTTTATGAACTCTCAAAATGTGGCACCCAAGTATTTTATTTGGACATGGTTTTCAGAGAGGCCAATGATTCCTAAACTATCTATCCTCATCCTGTTTTTCAAGTCGGATACCTTTTTTTCATTTTTTTTCAATTTTTTTACTTCATTTTAATATTTCTTGTTGCTTCCCAGAGTCACTAAGTTTTGTTTGTTTCATCTTATTTTCAAGGAGTCTACTACTGTGGTAAGGTATTCTACCTTCCATCTGAAACTATTTATTCTCCTTCCAACTCTTTCCTCAAGAGCTCTTATTTCTCTTTAAAATTTCATTTCTTTATCCCTTATTTAATTTCTTCCAGTCATTTTTGAATTCCCTGTGCCCAAGCCATTTTGTTCTCCTGAGGTTTTGCTTATACTCACTTTGGAGTTACTCTCTTCTTCTGGAATGTACATCTTTTCACCCACATTATTTCAGTATGGTCACCGCATTCAATGTTTTCATCTGTTTACTTATGTCTTCAGCTTCTATTCATCACTTGGACTTTGTTCCAGGACCGTTCTCCAGTCTTTCCTGTACAAATGGATAAGATGGTGAGACCCTATTTGATTCTGTCCCAGACTTTTAGGTTTCCTGCTATTTTCTTCCATCTATCTGTACTCAGAACACAGGGAAGATTCAGGCCCACCTGTAGGGTAGCTTGGATGTGAGTGTTATGGACTCTAGTCCACTTGAAGAGCCCCCGGTCAGAACAAGGGCAGATTCTGCCCTCCTGGAGCATACCAGTCAGAAAACCATGGGTTCTAGGTGTCCCTGGAACATCCCTAGTCACAGTGCAGCTAGGCCACTGCCAAGTTTCCATGAGTTCATGTTGACTTCCTTAGTGAATTTCTTCTTCTAGCATCCATATGCTTCAGGCTATGCGGGGGAAAAGGGGGGTGGGGGATGTAGTTTTGCACAGGGTGGAGGAACTCACTGTCCTTTGAATTCCAAATCTCCTCCAATTTCTTTATCATTATTCAAGCTAGCAATGTTTTAAGAGATTTCTTGGGAGTATATGAAGAGGAGCTAGGTTCCTAGGGTTTTCACATCACCAACTTAACCAGAAGTCCTTGTTAGTTTATTCAAAGAACCAGCTTATCATTTTATTTCCCAATTTCATAGAATTCCTATTTTCCAGTTAATGTATTCTTCCTCAATATTCTTATTTTGTGGAAACTTTCAGTATTTTGAATTTTTTTTCCAATTCACACTTATTTTCTCTCCTCACTTCACACTGCCAATCAATTAAACAAAATGAGAAGAAAAAGATAAGCTCCATGACAAACAGACATAGTTGAGGAAAACAAATTCCCACATTGTCCATGTCCAAAAATGCATGTCCAGTTGTGCCTTTTCAATCCATGTCTTTGGCACAAGGTGTGTAGCATATTTTCATTCAGCATTTTGAAACTCTGGTTTGTCATTGCATTGCAAAGAGTTCTAAAGTCTTTCCACTTTTTTTTCAAGTCAATGGGGTTAAGTGACTTGCCCAGGGTCACACAGCTAATAAGTGTTATGTATCTGAGGCCGGATTTGAACTCAAGTCCTCCTGAATCCAGGGCCGGTGCTCTAGCCACTGCGCCACCTAGCTGCCCCAGTCTTTCAAGTTTTTAAATAGCGCTATCATGCCTAAATAAATGGTTCTCTCACTTCACTCTGCATCAGTTCATAGCGATCTTCCCAATTTGCTCAGAGACTATCCATATCATCATTTCTTGTTCCATTACTCCACATACTACAATTTACTTGGCATTTTCCTAATTTTCCTCTTAGTTTCCAGGTTTAGAGGTTTGTTTGTTTGTTTGTTTGCTACTATAAAAGAGCTAATATATATTTCAGCACATATGAGTCCTTTTTCGCTTTCTTTGTTCTGCTTGGGGCATATGCTTAATAGGGCAGTGCTGGATCATGCATAATTTAGTGACTTTAAGGGTATAGTTCTAAACTGATTTCTAGAATGGCTTGACCAGTTCACAGCTCTACCAGTATTGTGTAAGTGTGCCTCTTTTCCTGTAGCCCTTCCAACATTTTACTTTTACATGTCATTTTCCTTTTATCATCTTTGCTAATCTCATGGTTGAGGCAGAACCTCAGAGTTACTTTAATTTTTCTTTCTCTAATTATTAGTTATTTGGAGCATTTTTTCATACGGTTGTTGATAGTTTAGATTTATTCTCTTGAAAACTACCTGTTCATATTTGCTGACCATTTATCTATAGGAAAATAGTTTTTAGTTGTATAAATTTAAATCAGATCCTTATATATCTTGGATATGAGAACTTTATGCAAAATCTCTGCCATTTTTGAACCAAATCATTTCAATTATTTCTGCTTTCTAGTATAATCTGAAATCTTGTATTGCTAAGAACACTTCCATTTTTTTTGTTACTTCTCTTGAGATTCTTAACTTTTTGTTCCTCTACATGAATTTCATTATTATTTTTCCTAGCTGTATAAAATAATTTCTGATAGTGTGATGGTGCAACAATGAATAAATAAGTTACTTAGGTAGCATGATTATTTTTATTATATTGAGAAGGCCCATACATGAGCAATTAATATTTCTTCAATATTTATGTCTATATTTCTGCAAAAGAGTGTTCTGTAGTTGAATTCAGATAGTCCCTAGGTATGTTTTGATAGGCAGACTCACAAATATTTATACATTCTGCAGCTATTTTGAATAGAATTTCTCTTTCCATCTCTTCCTGCTGGTTTTCATTGGTAATATACAAGTTGGTGATGACTTACATGAATTTATCTCATATTCTGCAACTTTGATAAATTTATTAGTGGCTTCAAGCAATTTTAGTTGAATTTTTTAGAAATCTCTAAATAAATCATATCATCTGCCAAAAAGTTAATAATTTTATTTCCCCTTAAACTATGCCCTCCATTTCTCTTTCTTGATTTGCTGCTATAGCTAGCATTTATTTCTAGCACTGTGCTAAGTAGTAGTGCTGATAATGGGCATCCTTGTTTTACCCTGATCTTATTAGAAAGATCTCTAATTTTGCACCACAAATATAATGTTTACTCTTGGTTTTAGATCAGTATCATTTACTATATTGAAGAAAATTCCATTTAGTCTAATGCATACTATTGTTTTTAACAGAAACTGCATTGATTTTTTTCAAAAGCTTTTTTTAGCATCTATTGACATAATGATATAGTTTTTATTATTTATGTTATCAATGTGTTTTATTATGTTTATAATCTTTCTCATGTTATACTAGTTCTACATTCCTGATATAAATTCATTATGGTTATAGTATATAATCTTATATGCTATTGTAACCTATTTGCTAATATTTTATTTAAAGTTTTGCATCAATACTCATATGGTTATAAGCCTATAGTTTTCTTGATTTGCTTTATTTCATCCTCGTTTAAGTACAGAAACAAACTGGAAGAAAGAGATTGCAAACAATTTATGTAATATTGAAATGAATTGTTTTGTTAATATTTGATATAATTCACTTGCAAATCCATCAAGTCCTAAAGTTTTTTTCAACCTTTGTGAATTCATTTATGGCTTATATGATTTTTCCCTTGACATTGGGTTATTTAAATAATCTATTTCTTCTTTTGCTAATCTACATGTTTTATTTTTTATAAATGTTCAACCTTTTCCTCTAAGTTTTTATTTTTGTTAGCTATAATAAATTGGTAAAATCACTTTTTATAATTTTCTTTATTTCCTCTTCATTTGTTATGATTTTGACTTTTCCATTTTTATATGAATAATTTGGTTTCCATCTCTTTTTTTTAATTAGACTATTCTATTGGGTTTTTTTTCAACTCTTAGTTTTATTTGTTGATGCAATGGAGTATTTTTTTGCTCTCAATTTCATTATTCTGTTCTTTGTTTTTTAAAATTTTCTATTTTGTTGTTTAGTTGGGGGGGCTGATTTGTGATTATTCTAGTTTGTTTAGTTGTGTATTCAATTAATTTATTTCTTTTTCCTCTCTTT